ATTTACTGCAGTTCTGTCTGCATGTGCCTCCATCGGGGCTCTGGATTTAGGGAGACAGATTGACGAATATGCGTCACAAAGAGGATTCCAACATGATATATTTGTGGCTACTGCATTGGTTGATATGTATGCTAAGTGCGGGAGTTTGGACAGTGCACAAAGAGTTTTCCAAAACATGCCCCGAAAAAATGAAGCTTCTTGGAATGCAATGATCTCTGCGCTTGCTTCTCACGGAAAAGCTAAGGAAGCCTTGTCCCTATTTCAGCTCATGTCAGATGAGGGTGCTGGTGCTCGTCCGAACGATATAACATTTGTAGGATTACTTTCTGCTTGTGTGCATGCAGGCCTTGTTGCTGAGGGCTATAGATTGTTTGATATGATGAGCACATTGTTTGGATTGGTACCTAAGATTGAACACTACTCTTGTATGGTTGATCTTTTGGCACGTGCTGGTAATCTATATGAAGCTTGGGATCTCATTGAGAAAATGCCTGAAAAACCAGATAAGGTTACATTGGGTGCTTTACATGGTGCCTGTCGTCGGCAAAAAAACATAGAAATAGGTGAACGAGTTACGCAGCTGCTCCTGGAGATGGATCCATCAAATTCCGGGAACTATATTATCTCATCAAAAATATATGCGAATTTGAATATGTGGGACGATTCAGCAAGGATGAGAGCATTGATGAGACAGAAAGGTGTCACTAAAACTCCTGGCTGTAGCTGGATTGAAATTGAGAACCACTTGCATGAATTTCATGCTGGTGATGGCTTACACATTGGTTCTATTGACATAGATGGCGTAATTGATTTTCTCCATGAGGAGCTGAAAAGGGAAGGATATGTTCCAATGATTGTTGAATAGCTGAATTAAGAGCTGAAGAGTTGTTTCATTGGAAAATACAGAAGCAGGGAAACTCTACAAACAAGGTTATCTCAGCTCAACTATTCGTGTTTGTTGGATTGGTTTCGCCTGGTTAGCATGGCTTGTTGGGATATACCACTTAAAAGTGGGCACCAGCTTTGTTTTTGTGTTGATGTTTGTATTCTTCTGTACTTCAATCTTGGATTTAGATAATTTAAGGATGGAAAACCTCAGTCATTGATGTCAGATAAAAATGAGAAGGAAATATTCTGAAACATGTGCCACATACTTTTGGAGTATCCATTGGCATCTCTGCCCCCCTTTGACACCTGCTTGAACCTTCGGCAAATCCGTCTATTAGAGGAGCATCTCATATTTTTTATTTGGGGGAAATCTAGCAACAGATTTTGCTTCTTCATGAGAACAAGATTTTGTATTGATGAGGTAAACAATTGTGGCCAACGGGATCTGGCAATTGATCTCACTTTCTGGGAAGCAACTGTAGTTTTTTAGTATATCAGATCGGCAAGACATTGAAGAATGTTTGAAAATTATGATACTCTTGTGTGAGTTTGATATTCACCAATGAAGAAGGTTTAGTTAGGTCAAATATAGTATTGGTCCATTGGAGCAAAAATTATTTTACACATCATAGCAATATATATTTTTATTTAGTGATCACTGCACATTCAATAGAAAATGTTAATAAAGGTTGATCTGCTACTTTGAGATGACAAGAGTGTAAACAAACAATTTCTGCCCCCAAATTGCATTTTTATCCATATTCTTCCCAAAATTTTCATTTTGCCAGAGAGCCTATGCATATATGGCGCCAGTCTTGGTCTTTGTCATCATATCCGGACGAGCTTCAAGCCATCGTTTGAATTTCTGCAAATTCCAGGTCCGCTGACTTATTTTTGAAGTTTATAAAAATTAAAATAGAACCAACTGTTATCAGACATTAGAAATCATGTAAATGTGAGTGTGTAATTTTTGTACATGGTGCCATTGTTATTTAGCTTATATAATGATAGGTGTTGAATGGTTGTGCAGCTGTGCCTCTTCAGAAACAAGCACAAAATCAGTGCAGGATGTTTGCATACTAATCTGCACCAGATGGTGTTTATCTTCTCAGGCAAGTGTGGTTTGCCATTGAAACCATAAAATATTGATTGAATGACTATATGTTTATTTACACATCTCCCATCTAAATTTCACCTCATCCTTGCCCCTTGATCTCTCTCTTTCCCTCATAACTCTCCAACATAATTTTAGGGTCCGTTTGCGAGTTGAGTTTCGAAGGGAAGGAAGAGAAAATGGATACTTCAGAGTCACATCATAAGTGTATCTCATGACCCCGAAATCTTTATTTTCTCTTCATTCTCCTCTAAACCCAACTCATAAATAAATTTTAAGAGAGGGGACAAAGTATGCAATGTGTATCCCCCTCCTCTTATTGAGAACATGCTAGAATTTAGTAACCAGAGGAGCATTGAAGTAAGTTCCAATATTTAAATTCTTTGAATTTTATGAAACAAAACTCAGTTTGATTTAGAAGTGAAGGTAACTTGACATGAGAAAGAACTTTAGTAATAATCTTTAGGAAGGAATTTTGCACACATTTTCTTTCTGTAACTACATGAGTAGCAACTAAAATCCAGTCATATCTAGCAGCAAATTCATATCTTAAATAAGTGAAGCACAATGGGGAAAAGCTAATCATTCATTAAGAACAAAGTTCACAGTTATTACATAATTCACTTTAATTCTAATTAAAGTTTAGTCCTAAACAATAATATCAAAAAATATAAATGCAATTGTATTCAAATATAACGTGTTGGATATATCTTAACACATATATTTTTCATCATACATACACCTAAATTGCAATTCTATTTCTTTATCATTTATATACTACACCAAGAAAAAGTTAATAATTATTACCTAAATAGTAGAACTTCAATAGAGAAATAAAAGAAATTAAAATTTAATGGTAATATCAATTTTATCATCCAAAGTCCAAACATACGCTAGCCTTTTCAAGTTATCTTAATAGCATTTTCCCACTTAATTAGATGCTGAGAATTTTGTAGGAATGCTATTCGTACTTAAAGTGTGCAACCAAAGCATTCAAATTATCTTAATAGCATTTCGTACTGTTTCTTTAATTCTTGTTTTTTTAAAATTCTTGTTTGATGTAGTATTCGTGATGCCAACCATTAATGATTTTTAAACGTTTTAAATCCAACTAATATATCAACTTTGTTAAGTGCATATATTTTCTTTCCTTCATTAAAGACTCCATATATTTATCTTTCCTAAACTCCAGCTTCATACTTTAGGTTACCTTTTCATTAACATTCTTACGTGTAAATAAAATAAGAGTCACACTAAAATGCGAAAAGCAATCCCAAATATCTAAATCCTCATCCACAACCTTGGTGTGAAAATGAGGATGATCATATTGGAGAATAACTAATGTTAGTAATGAATGACCGTTGACGAAAATATAATAAGATTGTGGGAGCCTCGTATATCAGATAACATTTTTATTTAAAATTTCTTTAAGTGCAACTAAGGTCACATGTTTTTATGTAAGGAAACACACGTTACTTGGGTTACATACACATACGTAAGGTTATAAATAAGATGAGAACCATCCTAAAATGTGGAAATCAATCCCAATCCCTAAATACCCACCCACAATCTTGGTGAGAAAATGAAGAAGATAAGTTTATTAATGATAAATAACCTTGGTTGTGTGTGTGTGAGTATTGAAGAAAGTGCAACAAGATTGTTTGAAAGAGTGAGAGAGAGAATGTGTTGGTTAGAGTACTTTTGTATTTTGGGAGTTAAAAAAAATGAGGATTAAAGCTATTATTTAGGATTTAAATCTAAACTCTCATACCTTAACCCATTAGGTTATTGTGTTTATCCAATTATATGTGATTTAATTTACCTATTCCTCATGTCTTATACTAAGCTCAACCCAATAAGGAATGAATAGAAAGAGAAAAGAAAAGGGCAAGGCTTTAGAATTATTAGGGTTGTGTGATTACTGTACAGTGATATATGTAATTAATAGGAAAAAGTTGGACCATAATAAGTAAACTACTGAATATCATATCTTAACTCAAAATCTTAAGATATTAGTTTCATATGAATTTATCCATTTGTACGTAACTCCACATGTTTTCGAAATCGACAAATGCCCTTATTTAATATTATTGATGGCTAAATGTAATTAAAGTCTAACCACATCTACATTGTACATATGAATTTGGCTAGGAAGTATTTAATGTTGTAATGGAGTTTAAAACACTCATATTCCCAATTGAACTATTAATCTTATAACACATCTTAGTTATGAGGAGATCAATAATTAATGAGACAAAATAGAATCATAATATGTTGATTAGACATCACATTTTAATACCCAAAACCTTAAAAAATTAAAATTCTCATCAACTTATATTCCTAACTTTACCTATTTCTTACCATCAAAATTGTTGCAACCACTTTATAAAAATCAGGTAAGCATGCACTATCACCCATTTCTCATGTCCTTGTGTGAGTAAAATATCGATTCTAAATGTAAATTGAACCATTTGGTCTCACTAGCCCCAAGTCAAGATTATATTTTTATTTATTATTTTATATAAAAAGGAATCAATTTGTTGCCATCTTTATTCTATATAGTGGGTTATGAAAAACTTGTTGTATCTACTTCCCATAATTAGAAGGTTTTAGTTACAATGGAAAACTTTGATGTTTGTGTGGTGCATGGAAGTCCTTTACTTTTTGTGAAAGTTGGCTAGCTAGATAGAATATATATATATATATATATATATATATATATATATATATATATATATATAAATAAGAGAGAGAATATATACATTTAAAAAGAAAACATAATGCACCATTCAAAAGGAATGTGATCACTCATACCTTGTCCATGCCCTAACCATTTCCCTCTCTATATAAGTTCAAAGTAATTCCTCATTGTTAATCACACAAATTTTAGAAGCAAGATATCTCTCATTGTTCTTCATACAAAAAATAAGTCTATGCATACCTTAACCACCATATACCGTCATTTGTTTCTTGAGTACATGCTTACAAGAAGGGGCAAAGGGTTGAGTGCAGCCAAGAATGACTTGCCGGAAAATATATATTTCATTACGAGCATATGATTGTTTGTAACCCGACAAGTTGTTCTTGGCTACACTTGACTCTCTTCTTCTCTTGTTAGCCTCAAAACTCATTTTTCTAGGATAGAATATGTTGAGCATTGCATACATGTCAACAAGAAAGGTACACTCTATTGTAAGGAGACCAATAGTCAAATTTAATGCTTTATAGCTAGCTTGAGTATTTTAATTATCATTTTCATTGCTTGTTTAACAACATAAAGATTCTAGCCTAAAGTGGTAAAATATGAGTATGTGTAAAAATGATTTACAAAAACCCATAAGATTAGAGGAAGAATTATCCAAATATTAAAATTAACAAGAGATGTAGGTAAAGTTTAAGTAAGTTGAATCAAGACAAATCTAGACATCAATATAATTTATCAACAAGATCAGAAAGACCTATACAAATCAAAACAATAACTATGTCTCTTATATTAATAAGAGGAGGCAACATGAAGTTATATAGATGGCGGATTGGATATTGACGACCCAAACTCAAAATGTTATATATATATATATATATATATATATATATATATATATATATATATATATATATAGTAATTCAAGCATAAAAGTGGTGAGATAATAATTTTGGGTCTTACAACAATATATGAATAATTAAAATTAAAAATTAGTTATTAGTCACATGATCACTTCTTTTAATTTTAACCGTTCAAATAATATTTAATGATTCATATTAACTATATATGTATATATATATATATATATATATATATACTTATTTGGACTTTCCTATATAATAGCTTAGGTGAGTCTCTTTATCAAGGTTAGGGTACATTTCATGAGTTTATTATGTGTTTGTATTTATAATTTATACATTTATAACCTCCTATATTAATAACAAGATTCAAACTCATATCCTCGTGGAGTGAGACTCCTCTCTAGTAATAGAGAGGAAAATTCTTTTTTCGTTAAGTTTTAAGAGTAAAACTGTAATGTCAATATAACTAATTAATAAGGATATAAGTATATTTTTTTTGTATTTTTTGTTTGTTTTCTCACACACTTCTCCATTACTCGAGAAGAGTTTCACTCATTCTTCATAAATGATGACATTTCTTATTAATATAGATGTTACACCACTATTAATGGTTTAGAAGTGAAAGCATAAATGATTGTATCCTCTTTTCCATCCAAGTCTTATAATTTGAAGTTCATTATGGTTACCCAAAGAATGGTCATATGTTATGCTAAATGAAGCATTTTACTGTTGAGAAGAAATGCTGTCTTCCTATCATTCAAGAAAAAATTAATCTACTTCATTAAAGGTGATTTATTTCTTTGACTTTTCCCTTTACAAAAAAGAGAGATTCCTCTTTGAAATATATGAATATATCGATTGTCATGACTTTAAGGCTATGTTTGAGAGTTACGAGGGAAAATGAAGGAAATATATCAAATGATTAGGAAGGGAAGAGGAAAGGAAGACAATTTTCTCCCTTGTTTGAGAGTGAAATCTAAATGAAGAGGTAAACTAATATAATGTTAGAATATTTTTTATATTTTTTATTTAAAAATGTAATTAACAATGAGAAATGAACAATAATATATAATTATATAATTTCACTAAAAATATTTAGCCATTTTTACATTTTGTCTATGGAAACACCTTAAGTTGTGAGAACTATAAAAATATATGCATGAAGGGTTTTAGAGGGTTTGATACCTTATCCTCTTCTCCATCCAACTTTCAAACAAGAGGGATACTTTTTAAAGTCATCTCTTCTATTCCCTTCCAAAACCACACTCTCGAACAAAGACTAAGGTTACCCAGGTAACAAAGAAATTTAAGACCACCTGACATTGCTCATATTGCAATGGATCCCAATAATCTTATCAGAGAAAAATTTATTTGGAAAAAGTTGTCATTGACAATACCAAAACAAAAACATGGGCATCAACTAATCACGACTAATATCTATATGGCTGACTTCCATTATTATATTCTATTCCCACAACAACTATATATAATATTAATCAATCAAAATACATTTTTGAATTAGTTCAATAATGTAGTTTGCTCAAATTTCTTGCATGAAGAGGTAGATGGAGTATATTTGAGTCAGCAAAAGAAAGATCTTTTGTGAGGGTCTTGTTGACAACGATTCCGTGCTCACATTTTCTCATATGAGACTTGGAAAAGACCTTGAAACCTTCATGTACATGGCACCATGTTGAAGTATGTCTTGTTCTTGTTTGCAATTTGGATGTGGCAATAAATGTATACAAGTACTCAAGGAGAGGGAAAACTGATTAATAAATTTATGTAGTTTGATTAGTTTATTGGAATAGAAAACCATGTCCTGAAATATGTTACATTTAATTTTTTTTTGGCATTTATTAAAAAATTGAGTAGTGAGATACAAAATTAAAATTATATTAGAATTTTTTATTATATATCAAAATTTTATTGAATGTGACATGATTATTGATATGATTGGGATATGATTTTGAGACATGTAATCCGATTTTATTCTTTTTTAAGGTTGCATAATCCTTTCCTCAACTTATTGCTACGGCCAATAACGGGAGAAGTGCCACGAACATTGAGCCTTCACAGCTCAAAAATAAGTTAAGCTTTTGAATTATAATTATGTGGAAAGAGTATTAAGATAATGAAAAAAAAAATGAAATGCATAGAAACAATCAAATAGAACAGTAAAGGGTTATATAAAAAATAAATCAGCTAAAAAGTGGAACAACGTTTGAAGATAACATAACATCCTTTGAAGATAAAGTTTGGTATGTGTGAAAGAGAAACTCCAACATTTATGTGTTATTCAAAGTTCTAACTTCTAATTTGTGATGATCTTTTTTTTTGTTGCGGGTAATTTTTGTCTATATAGGTAATATATATTAAAAAATTATATGGGTTATAATTTATAATATTAAGGATTAAAAAAATATATATACATGCGTCATTGTATTTGTATACATGCGCCGCCTCATATGACATATCTATGTGGCACCGTCATTGTATACATTCGTATTTAAAAAATGCACATGCTTAAAAAATGAATATGAATGAATTTGAACAACCCCATTAAAAATAATTATATGGGAATGAAGAGATAAAAGATGGATGAATTAAAATTAAAGTCATGTGATTTGTTCACCTCCACTCATCAATGATATACTATGACAAAAGCAAAATAGAGAAATGAAAATTGTTGAGGCAAAGAAGAGTACATGATTTGTTGAACTCAACCAAAACAGAGTAGTGTAATATTTATGGTGACAGAAATTCAAGAAAAGCATTGAAATAGTAGAGTAAAGGAGGCAAAACGGTAACTAGATTTGTTAACTTGTTAAAGTACATAATTAAATTATACTAATTTAACTACCTGCATGTTTTTAGGTATATTTTGACTTTATATATTGGTATAGACATAAGAATATTCTATTTCAAAATTAACTAATTGATAATGAAAACTTAACGAATATTTAAACCACACCTAAAAAAATAAAGTCTGCCATCTAAGTAAATTTCTTCCAAGAAAAATAACAACAGAATTTCCTTCTTCTAAACTAAGAAAGATCTTAATTAACGAGAAAGTTTTTATGGTGTTCCTTTAAAAGACATTCGATGCACATATATTTTACTAGTCAATTGATCTAAATCTGCATGGTAGATTCTTTGAACATGTATTTGTGTATGACACGTGCCCTTAACTATTTCCAAATTCGTTCTATGGAAATAGTTATATTCCCTTTAACGTGAAAATCTAGAGAAAACCGCATCCATGAGTGGCAGAAGTCAACTACTACGTACTTGGTCATAATCCTTAAAGTTACACGTACAAAATAAACATGAAATTTGATTCCAAAACAAAGATGGTCTAGAATAATTAAGAAACAGTGTTCAGATAATGTGGGGTCCTAGGCCCATAAGCCATTTGTTGTTTGAAAGAATTGATTATAGGGAATTTCCTTTATTATTAGTTGTTGAATTTAAGTGAAGTGTGGGATTCCATTGATTGACCTTTTTAGTGTTTGTGCAGCGGAAACGATCGTTGTGCAACATTGGTCACAAAGATATCAAATAACGCATAGAATAAATAGAATAGTTTTGGTAACGGGCCCATGAGGTGTTTCTATTTGGTGCTTATATCTGATGCACATTACAACAAGGGACATGTGTCCAATATATAACATTGGTTATTCTACTCTATTCCAATATTAGACGATGTGGGACTAATCTAATAACATATTTCAAGCATCCCAACAATCTCCACCTTGATTGAAATAGACGAATATCTCGCTCCTTACGAAATTTGCACAAGATTCTCCAAACTCTTAGTGCAGCTCCTTGTACCGCCATCCAATGGAACACGCCGCCTAGCCACCTATTGTTAGGAAGTCTTTCGATATATGGAACCTCAATACACAAAAGTTCACCAAGAACCGTCCTCTTCAATATTCAGTCAAGCTGAACCTTGGAGCTTCATTGGAAAAGCTCAACCGCTACCACCATTGTCTAGCCCGACAATCATAATTCAAAAGAACTATCATACTCCACCATAAGGAGTATACCCACAACACACACCTTGCGTTAATGCTAACCAATGCCCGTGTCACATCCTTGCATCCAAGCCAAAGCCCATGTCACACCCTGCATCTCTACCAATGCTCATATTACACCTTGCATCAAAGTCAATGCCCATGTTACACCCTGCATCAAAGTCAGCCAGCACATGTCTTAGGGTCAAACTCAACATCTGAGTTACACCTTGCATCAAAGTCAATGCCCATGTTACACCCTGCATCAAAGTCAGCCAGCACATGTCTTAGGGTCAAACTCAACATCTGAGTCCCTATCTCCACCTTGATCCTAATCCAATAGATGGACTTCTAGGATTCTGGATCAACACATATATCGCCCCACCATAGTTTCACCATGTTTTCTTCTCCTTCAACTCATTTCATTTATCTTTGCATAGTACCTTTAACGCAGTTTGTCTAACCAACATACATTCACCCTCTTTTGCAATTATTTAGCACCTGGGTTAAGAGTCATCTACCAATTGTTGGTGCAGCGAAAGCGATCGTTGGGAAGTGATCATTGTACAACGTTGGTCACAAGCAATCAAATAATGCATAGAATAAATATAAGAGATGAAAGAAAGAAGATATTATTAGAGAATAAGGATTACAAACCCTATCACACCCATGAGCCCATGGAGTGTTTCTATTTGATGCTTATATCTGTTACTCATTACAACAAGGAACTTGAGTCCAATATATAACATTGGTTACTCTACTCTATTCCAATACTAGGCGATGTGAGACTAATCTAATAACATATTTCAAGCATCTCCAACACTTAACCTATAAATGCACTTAAATAATGCTCAATTACATGTAGTGAACTGGAATATGATATCTCAATGCTTAATATTATTTTGCTTTCAAGTGTCTTGCATGAACGGGTAGAGAGTATATATGAGCCAAGGATGACTTGTCGACATCTTTTATGAAGGGCTTGTTGGCAGTTGATATTGGTTCATATTTGTTCTCTTTCTTATCAGAGCCAAGGATGACTTGCCGACATCTTCTATGAAGGGCTTGTTGGCAGTTGATATTGGTTCATATTTGTTCTCTTTCTTATCATATGAGACTCTATAAGAACTCGATTATTATATATATATATATAATTATTTATATATGAGATATTCATTTATTCCAAGAGTAAATTTTTGAAACTTACTCAACATCTTAACCATCAATTCTAGGGAAATTCATTGATTTAGATCTACTCACTAATTTAAACAATTGGATTTTCTAGAATTGATGGCTAAGATGTGAAATAAGTTTAAAGAACTTACTATTGGAGTAAGTAAATTTCCTTCTTTATTTACATATGTTATGATAATAATATATAAGATAGAAATTAATGTTTTTCTTTGTTTTCTCTGCCCTTAAAAGTTGTTATCTAAATACTTTGTTTTATTTTCCAATATAATATAACAATACATATATCTGTTAAATTTGAAATATTATTATACACATGTGTAACATTAAGAAAATATTTGAAAGAAAGAGATGTATAAGCTTATTACACCTAATTGTTTCTTGCAGCTCCAATATTCTCACTTGGAAAAACGAAGTAATGGAGGACATGAATATCTCAACAATCTATTCCTAAACCCTTCCATATATTAGTCATCAAGGCAGGAAAATTGACTGCCCAACCAAATATTAAATGTTAGAATTACAAATGATTTTTTATACATAAAGTATACAATGTAATGTAAAGGGACAATAAACATGATCATTTAGGTTCAAACTATCGCTACAATTGGGAGATTTGTATCAAAAAATCATATAAATGAAATTAACACCATATATTGACATAAAACTTTAAGATATTAGGTTTATGAATTCTTCAACTCATTCACTTTTAATCAATGTGAGACTTCTCATTCACACTTGAAATTCTCAATATCTCTCCCGCAAGTGTGAGTTACTCCCCTTTAAATGTACACTGATACACTAGAGCTCAACTATATATCTACTTGCATCATCGTTGGCTTGTCTTATTATCAACATAACACACTACCTTGACCTCTCACTAGGAAGACTTTCGATAGAATGATCTCACATGGATCTATCGACTACTTGTCGCTTAAATACTCGGTTGAGCCGTCGAACCATCGCCTCTAATACCACTTTCAAAGATCTTCATCCATGAGGTATATCATTCTTCCACAGGCTAAGTGAAAGAAACATATAAGTGAGCTTGACACCAAATCTTAACCCAAAACCTTAAGGCATTAGGTTTATGAGATCATTCACTCATACGATCCAACTCATCCACTTCTAATCAATTTAAAACTTATCTTCACACTTAGAAATCGTTGAAACCAAAAGATGCAACACCTTTTATATTTGAAGACAATACTACTATTATATTCGGTCTTATTAAATTTCTAACCAACAAACAGATCTTAGATAGCTAATCAAAAAATAACCAATAAAAAACAATAAAATACAGTTATATATGCGGAAAAAGTACTATTTGGGTTTGAAATTAAACAATGCAAATGATTTCTACTGAAATTTTAAATTGAATTCCTTTAGAAAGGTAAAACTTGCATAAATGGTGAAATAACATTGTAATAATTTTTGTGGATGAAACGTTCTAATACTTGGAAAATGAAGAAAAAATGAAAAGTACACCACATTATCATAATATAGATCAAAGGTGCTAAAAATGAGTAGGCTACCCAGTTTTAAAAGATTTAGACAAGCTCATTTAACCTCTAAACAGGTGTAATAACAAGTTTAGTTGACAATTTTAGATTAGTTGGACAACACCTTGATATAATATAGTTCAACTCGATTGGTTCTTGTAAAAATCCTAATGGCTCGACGACTTAAAATTCGGTTGGGTCATTCAAATTTCTTTTTAAAATGCATAATTGTTTTGTTAATAATAATTTTTAAATACTTTAGAATTATTCCAACTAAGTATTGCATGATTAAAATTTCCATCTAACCAACTCTCCATGATATTATAATTTTATTTTATTTTTATAAACACAAGAATATATTAACAAGTATAGAAGGCGTTCTCAGCCCATACAAGGATGAATAAAATTAGGGTTTGATAAGTCTAACAGTTGTACTTTTAATACAAGAAAGAGACACAACAAGAAAACATATGGCAAGGAAAAGTAATATCGTCGCACTATTATGCAAAGCTAATTGATAGGTATCACTTGATGTACAAATCAATCTCCCACAATCTAACTTAAATCAAATTCATACATTAAGTTGACTTTAGGTAACTCGGTTTTTGATAGAGCCAATGATCATACCGAATTTAATAATGTTGCTCCGAGTCGGACTCCTCTCCAGTAATGGAGAGGACAATCCTAGTTTATAATGTATTTTTAAGGATTAAGATGTAATATAAGTGTAAATTAAAGGATACAAATGTCAATACATTTTAATTTTTCAATAATTGTCCTCTCCAATAATGGAGAGGAGTCTGCCTCTATTGCTCTCCATCTTAATTTTTGGCCTCGCATGTTATCTCAAAGTTTTAATCTTATCTAACAACTTGATCAATGCTATATGTTAATACTTCATATGATATCCTAATGAGAATGAGTTATTTTATGGAACTTTTTAAGAAATGAATAAATTACTATTCTTTTTTTATCAACCAGAAAATTGGGATCAGGTTGAAGATACGCTTAATACTGAGATAATTTACTAACAAAAAAAGTCCTAACAAAAGCTATTTTAACTATGGTTGGTTGCCCTTAATAGTTAATACTTGTAGGATGTAATTTGTAACACACACTTAACCATTTAACACAATAGATCTTTCTTAAGACCAAAAAGCTTCCAAACCATTCGATAATATAACATTGGGCTTTAATCAATTCCTGTTAAACTTTTTTAGGTACTAATGAATCCTATTTTTTTACCAAGAATTTCCCTAGTCTATAACAGAAATCAAACCCTAAATCTAGTTTTATTTTTGATGAAACTGTTAATTTATTAGTTTTTTGGGTTGTTTCCATTACAACATCTCATTTTAATTCAAAAGCATATCCTTTCCTAAGTCCAATATTTGTGAAGGGAGATCCTCAGTCTCAATGTTTGGTGTCAACTAATTAAGGAAAAAACAATCATAAAATCATAAAATAGTTTGTTTTTATTACTTGACAATATATGATTAGTTTGAGACATAACGACATAAATTTTTTAAGACATGTAATTCTTGTTCAATATTTTATTCCCCTTTCCATGTCCTATTTGAATTATAATATTTCCTTAACATCATACCAATTCCCTTAAATAAAAGAAAATAGTATTATTTCAACAAAAAAATCTAATACTTATAAGGTAGTGTGATATTCAAAATGGTTGTTGCAAAGAACTTGTCCTAAAAGAAATTATGAAATATTCATGTTTAGTAATTTGAAGATATATCATATCTATTGCCATTGCATGTAGAATAAAAAAAGTTGAAAACAAAGCAAAAACAAATCTTAGAAAGTAGAAATCTCTCAACTTAGTCTCATGAACTTTGACATGTCCATAACCAATAAAATTTGGCCATTCCTTATCACAAATCCTTACTCCATTCTTTTTTTGGTAAAATATTCAATTCCCACAAAAAAGGAATTTATCATTGATGCTAATTGGTTGGAAGGAAGGTAATTGACCTATAAGAAAGCTTTCAGAAAAATAAAAAATACCTCACAAATGGATTCCTTTATCATAGAATGTGGGGTTGCTAATAATTTAGTCAAAATCAGAATATTTAAGATTGCATGAGATGTGAGAATTACCATTTTACCACTAAGCCTTGCCTCTCTCTTGCTATAAAATGGCATAAACCTACACGGGAATTACAATCAATCCAAATGTGTATGTGAAGAGGAAATAATCATGAGGATACTTGTATGATTTTGGTCAAAGAGTCTTTCATGCAGAGGTTAAAAGTGGAATAAAGCCAAGGATGACTTGCCGGTATTAATTTACTACAAAACTATGATGATAGATTGCTTGATTTTCCCGGCAAGTTATCCTAAGGCTATATTCAACTTTCTTCCTCTCATGTGAGACTCTAATGACCTTCTGACATGTGATATCGATTTCTAATCCTTAAGGTTCACTTGTAATACCCATGGATACTTGTATCCATTAGTACACGCTAAAATCTGCAAGCAGGTAATTAACCTTACAGATAAGTAGGATAAAATCTAATATGTGCAAATAGTAAAATTACATGCAAATGAGTAGCTACTGCCCATATTCATCATCGTCATCGATCCCTTCCATATTCACAACAAACTTCTGTGATAATTTTTATGCAGGTAAATTAATAGTAATTATATGATTGATGTAATTGTTTTCATTTTCAGCGGGGTGTAACACCAAAATTATGGTTGGCAAGGTTGCATACTTTTATTTAATCTCCAATGTTTAGTTGATATTCTCAAGAATGATATTCAGGGTAAGTAAGCTTATGTTATAGTTTTCATAACAAGTTATAGAGATATATATTTATATTATTTATGATTGAGGTTGTGCAATTTACCCAAATTTATAAGAGGATCCCTCGTTAGCCAATAAGGACAATAGAAGATGCAAGAACAGTATCACATCATCATCATCATAATCATAATACAGTTAGAAATAGTTTATTTTATGTACTCATTTACTTTATTTTAGAGAGCAAAACAAAGAACATTGTATATGGATTAATTAAAATAAAAATATATCCACCACAACAAACAAACAAAAAATTAATATATGACTTGTGAAGACAAAAATGCAACATGTGATCACATGCTAACAATCTTTCGGTTCCACCATACCCGTTTGATGGGCAGAAATATATTAATCCCTGGTTCTCTGACTCTGACCTAAAATTCTATTGTAAATTGATGATGCCTAATTATTTTCTTAAAGAACAAGATATCTACACTTTTAGGTTTTGTCAGAAATCGAGTTTATGATATCAAAGTTAAGAAAATTGACTACTTATCAATTATGTTGAACGATGATGATGTCTAATGTTTAATTTAAGGGATATAATGAATTAATAAAAGTTGAATAGTATTATATAATATGCTTATACAATATACACTCTATATTCATCAATTAATAATTTAAAAACGTGGTATAATGTAGTAACTTTATAGGTGAGTAAGATCCGACCCTAATTGCTCATCTAGTTTGGTTCGATCATGATCGGGTTCAAATAGAGTCAGGTCTTATCGGGTATGAGATTGTGTTCATGTTCAAAAATTAGTCTCGATCGCTATTTAGGGTCGAGTAGGGGACAAACATGATCCTGTCCAACCTATCACATGATCGATCGCTCATCATGTTTGTACATATCTCTATTCAATTGTGTGTACAGAATAATGACATTTTTTTAGTCGAAAGTATTACTGATTCTCTAATTTTTTCATCATAATACATGATTAACAATATATATATATATATCATTTGTCAAATTATATATTCATAATAATAAGTAATATTAAGATGAGTTTATCTAAAATGGGTATATGCATTATATTTAATCGGGTTTATGGTCGAATTTGAGTTTAAAGGTTCATTCGATCGACATTTGGGGTTATGTTAGCTTTGGTTCTAGCTAGGATCACGTCTAGATTCAAAAAAATGATTCGACCAATATTTATGGTCAGATAAAGGATAAGTCTTACTCGACCCAACCCAACCCAACCTGACTCATCCTCACCCTACTAGACTTACACCTAGTAAGTAGGATAGATGAAGCAATATTATATTAGCAAAATAAAGAAATTGTTTTTAAGATATAAATCATAACCTATTGTCTTCATCTAATAATATTTATTAGACATTATTTTGTCTAAATCACATTTTTTCTCTATCACATCGAATGATAGAACTTGTAATTTGGTGAAAATATTTTCTGAGTTCTTTAAAAAAAATGTTTTTCTACCTAGAGTCTTTAATCTCATGCCATCATGCTTGCTTCCATGGTACACAATAAGAAGTAACTTTCCATTCCTTAAACGAGTCTTTGGTAACTCCTTTTATCTATTCCATGTTTTTCTTTGTTTCTTTCAGTGAAAACTGAAATCATATCCAATTCAAGAAACAAACTATTATATATGGGCAAGTTTTGGCTCTTCATCGCCTAACTTCATTTCGTTCCTTGGTGTGCATTATTCTATGCATGCAAAATCCTTTCCCATTTTCTCTTTTTTCTTAATTCATTCTTCAATCATATATGTCGTGTCTATATATTGATGAATTGTTAATTTGCATGTTGTATGTTTCTTTTTTGCTAAAAGTTTTTGGCATTATTATACCCTTTGTGAGTATCTTGGGTTAATACTAAATATCATAGTATCTATATAAATTGTACCAGTGTATTATAAAGTCTATTAAATTTGTCCTTATATTATGAATGAGGTATGCATAGGTGGTAGCTATAGAAAACACATTCAAATTAGATGATGAGCAATGACTTGTTAATTGGATAGTATATTTCTTTTTCACACTTACTAAAATGGTTCTCTATGTTGGGAAGTAAGTCATACATCGCCTACCTCATTGTTTCGGGAATGGTTTAAATACATGTTGGGATACTCCTCTCATTATCAATTGGTTTTGAGATAGAACATTAACACTTCAACCTATTAATTAATTTGAACCATTGAATCATATATCTTTTTTTTTATATATTTTTTTGAAGGGATATATAATTTTTTATCTTAGAAATAAAGAGGAATTTTATTTTGTATGTGGTAAAACATTAGGATACCAATTTGATACAGTGTGAAACTATTGTTGGTGCCAAAGTTGCTGCAAAACATAGACCTATAAATTGGATTATACAATCGGGCAAAATTACTATGAGATAAACAACACCTTTCAGTATCTCCAAAATCGCTCATTCCCTTAAACTTTAAGCAACACATCTTAAGAGCATATAAGTTATTAATTATACATATGTTAATAGAATATGAAATGAAGAATAAAAGAATTCAATACTGTACTATATTCTAGAATCCACTTATCCTTACCTCAATATACAAAGTAAAATCAACATTTTATTCTTAGTGGTGGTTGGATCTATTAGATATTGCCGTTGAGGTTAGAGAGTGTTTATTTTTGTGTCATCTCTTCGGATTTCTTTACAAGGAATAGAGATATCTTGTTTTTGAATAGTATCTTATTCTTATATCGAGTTAATTAGAATATTATTTTTTAATTTTTTTAATTTTTTTTAATATTCATATAGTAATATGTTATTGGCTGAAGACAAAAAATTAAAAAATTAAAGATGTTGTTTTATAATTAAGACCAATATAAGGGTCTATGTATGTGTAAAGTCCCATCACATATTTCATCACTGAATACTCCAAACTTATCATCAAATTTGCTAGAGTATAGATCATTTCCATTAATAGAGAGATAGGTGGGGTGTATAATAATGCAAAATGAAAAATAAAAAGATAATTCAATCATTCTACTACACTTGTAATGATTTTTTTGTCCTTAAAATCAAGTGTAATAATACTTGCATTTTCCTTCTTTCTCTCATTCTTCATTCCTCACCTTTTTAAACATTTCTCCTTCCCTTGCCTTGTGAACTCTCTCTAGTTTCCCACTCTTTACACCTACAACTTACATAGTTTTTGTAAGCACCCACTCTTTATAATTATCATAGGAGAAAAAAAGATGGGTTTTTTCTCAAAAGAAGAAAAATCCAAAAAGATATTAAGGGGTGTGAAGACTGTGTTCTTCTTAATCACCATGGTTGTATCTCTTATACTTTTCTCTGCACCAATTCTCCTTGTTATTGCTGATGCATTTGTTCCTTCTGCTCTTCTTTCTACTCTTTCTATCCAAACTCTCTCTTCCCATTTCCACAACTACGATTTTCGATATTCTCTCATTGATATTCCCCTCATCTCCATCATAAGATCCTTCATCATCTTCTGTAAGTACTAATCATTAAAGTAACAGTTTTTAAGTGAATTCCAGATACCCTTTTGAATTTCACACTTTCTCTTGTATTTATGAAGTAGGATCCGTTTTGTTAATGAAGAGACAAATGTACGTTTTCTCTTTGTTTTTAATGTTAAAATGTAATTTTATTGTAATCAAATGGAATATATTCACTTATTCCAATAGTAATCGGAAAAAATCTACTCCACATCATTGACATTCATTATTAGGAATCCCTCCCGTAATCAAATGAATATATTTCATTGAATATTATATTTTTCTTTCATTTTTGAAGCACTTACATCTCCATTCATAGAGATCATACTAACTCTATATTTATGACTTATAAGTCAATACTTGAATATTAAATATTGTTTTATAGAATAGTAAAACATTTAGGATGGTGAATAAACATTAAACTCTAACACATTATTTTTATATGTAGGTTTTTATAGTTTATGTGATGGACCTAGTCTTTCACGAGGACCGTATTTGGGGACAACAACAATATGTTCTGTTTTGTCTTTGATGTTTGTTTCGCTTAAAGCTACGTACACATTCAGCATAAGTGATGTTGAACGAAATGGGTATATTAGAGCCAGCGAAATAGCTCTGTTTGTGTGTTCTTGTGCGTTGGCTGTGGGACATGTTGTTGTGGCATATAGAACAAGTTGCAGAGAAAGAAGAAAACTTTTGGTCTACAAAATTGACATTGAAGCTGTAAGTGTCCCTTTCAATTTCCCTTTTATTATTATTATTTTGGTTTTGTCCGATCTTTAATAAACAGACACACATGTCATATTTTTAGTGGACTAAGAAGATAATTTATCTGGTAATAATATAATGACATTATTCTCAACTTGATGATATTATTTTGCTGGCATGGGTAGACAACAGACAAAGTTGATGAGAATCTTTTTAGAGGTAATAAGGTCCTACATAAGCATCATTCATGATCAAATTAAAGGATTTTCATTAGGGTGACCTTACTTATTGGAAATAGTATTAGTATGATTGAATTTTGTTATATTCTGAAAGGTCGTAAGCATGCATTGTTGTGAATGCTTGAACCAAAATTCAAATCATTACCCAAAAAAAGAACAAAAATTCAAATTAGCCATTTATGTTCAGCTTTGGCAACATATATAGTTTTCTGACTTTTCAATACATTCACCTAAATTATGGTAGTTGGAATTTGGGCTAGAATATGGGGATGTTGGACTCTTAGTCAAATCGTCTAAAATATTTCCAATTTATAAATGTACTTTTCCAAACGGTCGAAAGTCTAAAGTTGGGGAGAGATCCACTTACTCTAAAAAACACTTACTCTTCATCTTAGCCATCTAATCTTAAAAAATTCAATGGTTTAGATGTACTCACCAATTCAAACCATTGGATTTCCAAGAATAAATGGTCATGATGTGGAGTAAGTGTTTTTCCACTTACTCTTGGAGTAAATGGATCCCTCCCCATTTTTAATTGTGGGTTATAGTTTTGATGAGAAAAATATAATTGGTTGATTTATGATAGAAAAAAGACTTAGTCTTGCCCTCACATGTAAATCCTGACTCAACTATTTTTTGGTTATAAAATTGG